TATATATATATATATATATATATATATATATATATATATATATAGAGAGAGAGAGAGAGAGAGAGAGAGAGAGAGAGAGAGAGAGAGAACGACTCAAACCAAACTCATAAAGAATTAGGGTTACAGAAAACTCTATGAAGTTTTAGAAGAAAAAATTGAAGGCTGAGATTTTCTCTTCATTTCAGTCAACTCTCAACTATGGCGCCTCTTTCGAACCCTATTCTAACACTAGCACCCTTGCTTTGCACTGCGTATGTTCTCATAAACAAATGAGTTAAGTTTAAAATTTAGATTTCAGCTGTTAATTATTAATTTAATAATGTACTAAATAAATATATTACTAAAAATTAAACGTCTCATCCCAATCCCTAATTCCCACATGTATATACATACCCACCATTACTTTTTCTCTACCAAAACTTTGAAAAGTTTCATTTCCTCATTTAATTGTAATTTCAAAAATTGAGTTTCCTCTATACATTCCACAGTGCAAAGCAAGGTTACAAATGTTGAAATAGGGTCCATGAGAAGGCGCCATGGTTGAGAGTTGACTAAAATGGAGAGAAAATCTCAGATTTCAATTTATTTCGCTGACACATCAAAGATGTTTCTGTAGCCTAATTTTGTGTGTGTTTGGTTTGAGTCATTCTTTCTCCCTCCCTCCATGCTTGGATTTTCTGCCTGTAGGTGATTTTGTTGGTAGTGTGATGTTGGTGGTGGTGGAGGTTGGTATTTGTTGAAGATGTTGGTAGAAATGATGGTGATGGTGATGGTGATGGTTGTTACGGATTTAAGGTGAACGTAGATTTGAGTAGAAGGTCGTAATGGTGGTGGTGAATTGTGGTGCTAGTTTTTGGTGTGTACAGATTTATTTGTGGTGACTCTTTGTGATCAAATATATATTTATTATGATCGAGTGTGACTGAGTCTGTCTTCATTGTGGTTTTTTTCAGTAAATTAACAGGAAGTCACAAATTAAATTGATTTGGTGACAAATAGTCACATTGAATACAAATTTAGTCATAGATAACACGTGAGTGACTTGATTATATACAATAAAAAATCAGACTGATATGGTCACAGATAATTTGGCCACAGTTAGTCACTGATAACATAGTTATGGTCACAAACAATATATTTGATCACATATAACATAGTTAGTCACAAATCTTGTCAATTACAACGTAACACTATCCAAAATGTTGCTACTACCTTACCATTCCTACCATCAAACAAATAAACTCCAATGCACTTTCATCACCTACAACATACCATCACTGCCACCACATAGATCTATTTTCTAAACACAGTGCTAGCTTATTACCACCACCACTTGCAACATTATTTGTGTATGTAAATGTATATAGAGAGAGTAGGCTTCTGTAGAGAGAGAAAACATTTTTAACTTTTAGAGTTTTTTACAGTAAAGTAGATTGGGGTTGGATTCGTTAGGTGAAAGGTGTAAAGAGATTTGAATTTCTGGAGATTTTTGGAGTTTTCTACAGGGGTTGGATCCGTGAGGTTGGAGTTTTCTATAGTAAGGTAGGTTAGGGGTTGGATATGTCAAGTACAAGGTGTAGATCTATTTGAATTTCTAAAGATTTTTAGGATGGGGTAGGTCATTAGATAGGGGTATAATGTCATTATGTCAATTGATATAGCACTTGTTTGATCCCTATTATTTTTAAAATTCATTTTTCTTTCTTTTATTTTCAACCACACAATCTTTAATAAAATAATATTACACGCAAATTCAAAAATTTTTCTTATTTTTTAAAACACATATTCTCCATCAAATCAATATTCTAAAATACGTTTTTGGAGAATAATGAGACTCAAATAGGCCCATAGTATCTCAATTGAAATAGAGTGAGAATTAATGTATATTATATTATAATTATATATTTAATAATTTGATTTACCACCTAATTTATGAAATTTGTTAGTTTTGAAATATGATCCTTATAATGTAGTATTTCCGTATTTTTCCCATCTTTAATGGTAGGGTTCTGGGTAATTTTTCCAATAAAGATTATGCTCTAAGAGCATTCTAGGAGGTTTTTTATTTTTAAAGAGAATATTTTATCATTTTTGGAGCATCTGTAAATTTAGAATGTTAAAATTTTGAAGCACTCCAATAGACTTTTTTATAGCATCTCTAAGGGAGTATTTGATTACATTTATTTTCCACCCAAATTTCTACCTGGACTGTTTGATTACTATTTTTTCTCATGGAAAACATTTTTCAACTTTTGAAAATATGTCTAATTTTCCTTAGGTAGAGTTGATTTTTATTTTCCACAAAAGATGGAAAATATTTTCTTTTCTAGGTGATCTTTTCCATGTCAATCAAACACACTCTAAGTGATTTTTTAAACATGAGATGTTCTCTATTTTAAAACGTCGTCCTTTAAAATCATGTTACAAGAAACTCTATAAATTAACATTTTAATTTAGAGAGTATGTTTGACTCTTCAAATTGGAGAGCTAAACTTCTCTATAATTAAATTCATTCAAAGCATTTTAATTTTCAATGTAGAAGAATAATAAAATAATTTAGAGAAAAAATTGTTAAAATAAAGCATAGAGAAAAATAATAAATATTTTTTGAGAATAATAAAATTAAGTATTAAATATAAAGAATTTGTTGGAGTACTTTTAAAATTGTAACTCTCTAAATTTATATATTCTACAAATGATAGAATTTGCTATGAAAAATAATGAGTCTTTTGGGGATGCTATTAAGTTTAACACTTAATTTTACCACTCTGAGAAAATATTTATTATTTTTCTCTATCTTTTATTTTAATTTGCTTTTCTCTAAATTATTATATCATTTTCATATAGTGAGAATTGAAAATACTTTGAATGCATTCGGTTATAGAGAGAGGAGTTAAACCCACTCTCTAAATTAAAATATTAATTTAAGGAAAATTTTCATATCTAAAAGATTAAGTATGACTCATTTCAAAATGGAGAAACAATGTTTAAAATTTTAAAAATCAAATATTAATTAAATCTGTTTTTGAAATAATTAATTAAAAATATATTTTATTATTTAAAAATATTAAGGTCACAATTATATACTTTTTGGCGACAAAATATCGAATTAAATGGTTATAAATTATTTTTCGATTATGAATAAAAAAATTTATAGGTCACAAAATTATTTCACAATCAGAAATCGAAAATTATTTAAATCACAATTTATTCATCAATCATAAATTAAAAAATTTATAAGTTAGAATTTATTTATCAATCACAAATTGCAAATTTTATAACTCATGGCTCAAATTTTATGGCACGTTTATTTATTGGTTAGAAGTTATCGATTATAAATCACAACTTATTTTACGATCACAAATTATCAAATTAATGGAGCCCAAGGTATTTCTCGATCATAAAATAATAAAGTGTGAGTCACGATCACATTTTTTAAACATATATTATTCATTGGTTACAACCAACCAATTTATTGGTCATAAAAACTCCCATCCCAACCACTAGCACCTCCAAAACTACAACATCGCAAAACATAACCATCATCGCCATTGGCGTCGTTGACACTGCCGCCACCACAACGCAAGCAGCAACATCACCACCATGGAGAACACCGCCACATCAGTACTTCACAGCGACTGCTTCCATTTTCAAATCCACCGTCCCCAAAACCACGAGAATGTGTTGATGAACACAGCACTGCGCTGTGTTGTCTTGCAGCACCGGTGTCTTGTTGAGAAGGCGCACTATTGCTACAAAAAACAGCGCCTCAAACGACAACCTTGGACCCGTTGCGAATGACAATGCAACGTTGAGTGTTACTGTGAACAATAGCACAACACTGTTACTATAACGCTTGTCGCTGCTGTGATGACACCGTCGATAGGAAGAGAGTGATGTTGCCTCAGCGTCGATACGACGGTGATGCCACCATGGTGATCTCTCGATGGTGATAAAGAGACGAATAGAAGAGTCATTGGAGTGAACCATCGTGAAAAGTGACGGAGTGAATAGTTGCCAAAATGAAGAGTGGCTGCACCATGGAGGTGAAGTAGGAGTGAATATATTTTTGAAATTGTAAATTAGGTTTTGTAGGGGTGCGTAGGGTAAAGTAGAAGCGGTAAATTAATTTTTAATAATATTATTAATGCTAAATATTTGGATTATGATTTTTGAAAAGAAAAATTATAATTATTATTTATGAATTGAAATTTTGAAAATATAAGAGTTTCGCTTAATTATTCCATCCTAAATTTCTCAGTAACCCGCATTGACCCGACCCACGGAAACATATTAGACCCGGCCCGTAACAGGCCCGTCTTCTGCCCTGTGATTCAACTACAAGCTTCTTTCACACCGGGCAAGGAAATGATTTGATTCGAGTACTTCTCAATTTTAGAGGGGAAAGAAAGACGGAAAAAAAGTGATGCCACGGAGTATATCGAGGTCTCCGTCGTACTCGAGGAGGCGATACTCTCGTTCTCGCTCACCCATCACTCACCGCCACTCCGGCCGCCGCAGCAGCCGCCGTGACCGATCTCGTTCTCCTCACAGCAGGTCAACCTAGCACATGCCTCTACCAATTGGCAATTATTTTCAACGCTTTTGTTCTATACGATTCATTCGTTGTCCCTGCTCATTTGTGTGTGTGTGTGTGTGTGCGTGTGTGTACTGCGATTTCTGTTTGCTCCACACAATTGCAATTGATTTAAATTAATTTTTAGCCCTTGTTTGAGCCCCATTTTCAACCATACAATCTTTAATCTAATAATTTTACATGTAAATTTTTAATTCAAAAATACATTTTTCTTCCAAAATGGGGCTCACAAGGGCTTAATAAGCTTATCTGCTGTTGTTAACTCTGTGCGTGGAGGAAATATTAAAAAAGTTTACTTTTCCAAAAAATTGGTTTTGGATAAAGTGGTTGGATTGGTTATTTGAGTGTAAGGTGCTTAAAATCCAAAAAAAATTTATAACTCACAACTCAATTTTGACCTAAGGGGAAGTTTCCGAAGTGAGATAATTTGTAGCTCTAGACTTCCAAGGAAAGCTGCCACTTTTGCTGCAATCATTTAATTGACATCAATGTAGTGCTGCTGAGACGAATCTGTTTCTATAAACTGTTGTTGACAAGATTTGATTTCTCTATAGAAAAATGGGAGATTTTTTTAGCATTGTGGATTTTGAGATACTATACAAACCAAAGGGAACTTGGGGATTTATTACTTGGATTGGATTCAAGATTTATTTCCATATTCTCACCAATGTAAAATGGATGAGTACAATTTTGACCTCTAATCTACTGGCCTTTCAATCAAATCCCTCTTCAATAATTATTTTTATTATTATTTTTTTCTGCTATAGCAGGAGAAGAAGTCATTCTGCTACTCCACGAAGGCGAAGAAGTCGTTCACCAGCTCTGAGGCATCGCAAAAGCCGGTCTCCATCCCCAAGGCATAAAAGGAGACATAGAAGTCCGAGTTCTTCTTTGTCTTCGCCACCTAAATCTCGTAGTTCCAGTCTCACGTCACTTGAGCGCAAGAATGCAAATGAGAAATTGCGAAAGGAAGAAGAAGAAGAAAGGAAAAGGTAAAATCACAATATCCTTTCAAGAATCGTAAAACTTCGTTTTCTTTCTTTAGAGATCCAAGTGGTCAATAAGATTAGTCAATTGTGTGTTGAAGGGCTTCTAATTTTTTCTACCACATAACTGGGCAGATACATATGCGTTAAGATTTATATTTTGAAAGACATAAAAAAATAAGTTAGATTGAACAATAAAAAACAATCACTAAGACTTATTCACAATAAAGTGGGAGTCGTCTACATCAATTTTCACCACTCCATACGTTTGTGCCATAACAATTAGATCACTTATCTTTTGTAAGGACTCAGTACTTCGTATTTGAATAATCACTGATGTCTTGTATAGCTATGTATTTAATTATCTTCCCTCACAATACTTACTGTTTTGTGCCACTCCCTCCATTCCATTTATATAGGTTTACTTGCCTTATTTTCTTGTCCAATTATATAGTCCTGTTTATTTTGAGCTTGTTTTGTTTTGTTTTGTTCATTTAATTTAATTTGCCTAGTTGTAACCAATTTTTCTATTTAATCTTGAAATTGTACAAATATAAATAAGGTAAACTAGGAAAGTTATTGACAAAAATTGCTTTTTCAATAACATTAAATAAGATCTCTTAATCCATGTGATATAGAGGGAGTATATGTGAAACATTCACTTGCCAGCTGCTTTTCCTCTTATTCCTTCTCAACTTGGCAAGAGGATGGCTCTATTTTGCAATTTTAGATAAGCTATTGTTTTTATCCAATGCTAGAATATGACTCAGCTTTTTGAAGGAAACTACCAATCTGTTGCAGTTACTTCTATGGGTGGTGGTATTTTCCATTCATTGGATGGAAGGATTATCAGGGAGTGATTTTTTCAATGCATTTAATCATGTCGTGTAACTTTCTGGATGTATGTCTTCCCTTTCTTGTCCTAAAAAATGCCATTAGTTTCTTGTAAGAATTCTCATTTATTGGGATTTTCTATTCTCTTGAATGAGCTTTTTCAGACTACAGCACGAGGCGGAGCTAAAACAATTAGAAGAAGAGACTGCAAGGAGATTGGAGGAAGAAATTCGAAAAAGGGTCGAAGAGAAGTTGGGTTCCGAAGAAGTTAAGCTAGAAATAGATTTACGAATTAAAGGAGGTCAGAAGAAACTTTTTGATGATGTTGAAGCTCAACTAAAGAAAGAAAAGGAAGCTGCTCTGATTGAGGCAAGGCAGAAAGAAGTAAGCTACTTGGCATTTGCTTTTTCCCCCCTTCCTTTTTTATTTGGTCATGCATATTTTCTTTATATTTGCATATCTTTTCTTGTAGCTTTCTTTTTCAAAAAAAATTTTCAAATCTTTGTTTTAAGGATCAGGCTTCATTAGTAGGAATAGGAGAATAAAGAGAAATTTGTTTCTAAAAGTCATTATGATCATGGTCCGAACGGTTGGGAAAATGGATTATACGTGGCCCTATCCAAACAGGGGGCCTAATTGGCGCTCCCCTATTGGAGGGGGCACCGGGCCGGGTGGGGGGGCGGGGCGCCATTTCAGCGCCCTGGACAGACAGGGCCACGTGGCCCTGTCCTTCTAGCATTCCCTTGGGAAAATTAGGCAAATATCTAACAACAAAACATCCCTTCTCTCGTGAGAATTTGATAACCAAATCCCTATCTGTCCAGCATTCCTCTTGGAAAATTAGGCAAATATCCAATGACAAAACATTGGAATAAACAATTTTCCTTCTCTCTTGAGAATTTGATAACCAAATAGAGCAACCACCAAACAAAAAATATGCGAAATAAACGACACAATACTTAACATGGTTCAACAATGTGTCTATGTCTACTACTCCAACTCCAAATAACTGTTCACTACAGTTAACCAAAATGGTACTACGATCTCTCTAGATAAACCTTGAGGTTAACCAAACCATCAAGAATTCGACAATTCTTAGCCCAAAAGTCCTTGCCTATAACCTATCCACAAAAATAAATAAATAAGAGAAAAAAAAAGGTCCTTGTCTATAAAAGATGGAATTCCTTAAGAGCTACTATTCTCGGAATGCTACTAAAAAATCAATGAAGGAAAGATCTCACAAATTCACTACTGTGTAGGCCGTGATTTCTCATGAATGAGTAGTTCTTGTTCATACCATTGGATTTAAAGATCAGTGAGTTTGTCTAAATTTCATGGCGTTTGGACAAAGGAGTGATAAGATAAAAATGCAAACATGTTGTCCGAATTTCACAATGTTCGGACTACGAAATATTGAATATCAACGTTTGATCAACGAATGCATAAGCTGGTAGAATTGTGAGAATTTCCCTGTTTGTTGCTTTATGTTTTCTCCCTTTATTGGAGTTGGATTTGTCTTCTTGAACATTCCAATTTTCGTCATTTCATCCTATATATAGTAAATGAGATGTTGAATAAAAGTCCTAGTGGGACTATTGCCATTTCCAATGGTAGATACCAGCTAAGTGTTGGACCTACCATCAAGGCAATCTTGACCTGCTTTGACTTTGATAAATTTTTAAAGGGATTTTGACAAAGTTTCCTCTGGACTAAACTACCTGAACAAAAATTAATTTTCTCAAATCTGTACATATAATTTAAAATAGGGTATACCAGTCCCTTCAAATACAAACTATTCAAAATAAAGTACATAAGAATGAAATTTACACTTCTTAGCTAGCCAAAAGACTCTAAACGACTAACATATTCAAAAGATAGCAAATATGTAGTGAGCCCATGATATGGATACATTTTTTGACAAAAATGTATGTATCCCAAAAATATGAACTGTATAAACTGAAAAGATAAATCATACAAATAACGACTGTGTAGTTCAACTTGGTAAATCAATAGATTCCAATGTTGCTAACTCGGTTACTATTTGATAAGAAAAACGGTGACAAAATATATAAAATTGTAACTTAGTCAGTAGATATTTCGCAAATAAGTATTTTTTTTCCATTTATGCCAACTTTCTAAAACTAATATATAATAAGAATATCATTTCAGAGTACTATGAGCTAAAATCTTTATTCTTTGAACTAAATGAATTAAATTTTGTAATTTGAAATCTGATAAGCTGTATACTACTGAAAAATCACACAAAAAAGGTATCAAGAGTAACCATACTCATGTATCGATTAATCTCAATATGCATGGCAAGGTTATTCAATTCTGAAATTCTGGTCATACGTGTGCAGAGCTGTCCAAAGGCTATAATTTGGGCATACACTATGGAAACACATTCACAATAATGTAAAGCTTGTAAAATAACCATAACTAATCATAGATTGTGGGAACACATTCACACCATTGCAGAGTGGGTAAAATAACCATACAGGGTCATACACTGTGGAAACATATTCACACAAGTGCAGATTAGGGTAAAATCACCAGGTTATTTTCTGGTGATTTTTAAAAATAACTTTAAATATGTTGAAATATTTAATACTCATGTAGCATGCTAATGAGATGATTTAAGTGAACTAAATTTAACTTTAAAAGAACTAACTTAAAATCTACTTTATTCTAAAAATCATGATGTCGACCAACTATATGAAATAATTAATTTTCTAATCTAATATAAATTTAATAAATACTTATTTTTGAAAAATAAGCTTTTCCACTCACATATTATAAGCTATATCCTAGGATGGTTGGTAAGCTTTTCCAATCACCTTTCACCACTTGAAATACGATAAAAAATAATCAATTTAACCATTATCAAATCAAGATTCCTTTTATCTCTAATGATATAATACTTAAATTAATATATCTCAATACTAGAATAAATTTCCCAAATATTTCTTTAATCAATCGGAGCTAATTTCACTTTCCAGTCGTTTACTAATAACTAATTCATCAAAATAACCTTCATCCCAAGCATGAAAATTAATTAAACCATTCAATCTAGTGAAAACTAACACAGCTCAACCAACTTAACTTTCATTTTGCTCCATAAACTCAAGCTCTCATTTGAATATTTCATCACCACAATCATTTCTACTAACAATACTTAATCAAGAGTCCCAAATAAAAATTCTATGGTTTGCCCAAAAATTGGTATTTCTTACCTTAATGAAATTGGAAATTAAAGAATCAACAAAATTGAGCTCCAATTTGTACTCTAATCCTCCTAAATCTAAAAATTTAAACCACAAGTTAAAACCTTAGAAATTCAACACAAATTATTCCTTTACTTCTTGAAAAAAAATAAATAAATAGATGTAGGTACCCAATTTCTTCCTCATTTCTTCTTTCTTTTTCTCCTTTTCTTTCTCTTTTTCTTCTTTTCCTTCCCAATTTTTCTTTTCTGCCCGTTTCTTCAAGTTGCTGCGTGTGTATGTATGTAAAAATGGAAATAAAAAATGTGTAAAGGGTTAATCAATTGTCACATGTACTCCATTCTTACCCATAATTGCAATCAAGTCCTCCAACCTTCGTTTAAAACTACATTAAATCCTTAACTTTCAAAATTAGAAAAATAAACCCCAACTTTAAATTTTATCATCTTAAACCCCTCAAAAATGTTTTTCATAATAAATCAAGCCCCAATAAAATAATTTATTTCATTTTAGTCCCTATTTGACCTTTGACTAGAAAAAATTGGGTTGTAACAACTCTCCTTTTTCTTCAGGCACAGGTAAAGATAATGTGCAAGGTTTCCTGGATAAATTAGGATTTTAACTAAAATTCCTTGTTAATTTCATTCTCAATCATAATTAGCATTGGGTCTTTTTAAGTATACAAACAAATTTGTTGGGCTGGGACCTTTGATCTACCCCGAGACATGGGGCGGATACCCAACAAGAACATCATGCCTCTTTGCATTTACTTGGTTTGCAAAATATTATATGAATTTGTGTGGTGCCTCTGCTATGTGTACTGCTCATAAATTGTTTAAAACTCTTCAGTTTATTTGTAGATTTCTGTAATTGCAAAAAAATTTAGGCAGGAGAAAAAAGGAATTTGATATGCGAGAGTAAGTTTTTAGATCTGCACAGGATCTTCCGTTTTGCGTTGGCACAATTGGCCAGCAGTAATCTGCATTGGCCTGTATATTTAATTATCGCATTTGTACATGATACAAAAAACTGAAGATATAATGTGATAACTTAAGATTTAGAGCATGATGGTCCTATATGGTGCTATGAATGAATTACTTCGTAAAGAGTGTCAGCATTTAACGTTTGGAAAGAGGTTCTGATGTTCCGACCTCGATGATGATGGCAGACAAATAATTCAGTAACTTGAGATGAAAGTGTTTTTTATTTCTTGAAAGTCCACTCAAGCAACACAGAGATGGATCTTTAGGCCATCACACTTACGAGTGAGTGGGGGGGATTGACATCATTCCCTACTAAGTATATTTATTGAAAAGTGAATACAAAGAAGAAACATACTGACTTACGTCCAAGCGAGTACAAATGAGGAATGAAGAAGAAAAAAACACTTACTGATTAACTATTTAGTCAAGAATAAAAGAATGCATTTACAATACAAATCATCTATCTCTTTAGCTTGTAAACTAGGAAGGTTCCATTTATGTAAGTTTACCATATCTGTGATTTCCCATTTTAAGTTCTCAAGGTTAAAAGATCTTATATGTTCTAAGGCCTGCGTTTGCTATCTAATCAGCCATAGCATTGCCGTCCCTCCAAATGTGTGAGAAAGTTACCTGCATTTTCCTTGACCAGAAGTGAATTTCATCTAACATTGTTGCACATGCCAGTGTCCATTAGACTGTTAATGATAATATTGTGATTCTATTAGGATGATAGTGATGAAGATTTGTGGTTTTGCATGTATGATGTGCACACATTAGTTTGTACGCATTGATGAGTAGTGTTGTAGAGTCCTGCTCGATTGGAAGGGTTTTGTATCATATTATCAGATATGGATGTTGGGAAATTACCAATGTGGAGATTTATATTTTTGGTTCGTTAATATTATTGAGGTGACTGATTATTCATATTGGAAATTTGACTGATTTTGCAGTGCAAATGCACGAGTACTATTGTTGAACGGATGCAACATATTAATACCAGTGCAATCTTGCTCCGCTTCTTTTGATTTGTTTGTTTTAATCCCAAATTGGTGCTGTATAGGGCTTTAGCATCATCAAACAAACATCTGCGCCTGATGAAGTGTTCGACATATGTAATACCAGTTTAATGTTGCTCCACTTCTTTTGATTTGTTTGTTTTAAATGTTGTAGTTAATCCCAAATTGGTGCCATATAGGGCTTTAGCATCATCTAAAAAACATCTGTGCCTGATGAAGTGCCAAATAAAGGAAAAATATTTTCTCTCGCTTTCTTCTTTCATGGTTGTGACTTTGGAGGAATGCTGTGTTTTCGTTTCAAGGATTTTGCCGTTGTTGCTGTTATTGTTGACTTAGTTCTTGAATTTATTCTCTTCATTTGTCACCTGTTAACCACACGAGTGGAAGACGCAGAAAGCAGAGACCTTTTTTTTGGGTGCATGTGACAAGTTAGCATTAAATTTTTTATGTAAAAATTTCTCAATTTTCCGGTTGCTTCTTAATGTTCTGCTCTTGAAATCTACTTGCACTTACATTAGTTGAATCATTGAACTTGTGAGCTTCCAGTGTATTTAAATATTGATTTGCTAAATTTTTGCTGCTAATTGCTGCAAAACAAAATCAATAGGAATGGTTTATTGTTACATTCTATTCCTTTGAGACGTCTTTGTACTGAAATGCTTCTGATCAACAGGAGCAAGCTCGAAAGGAGAGAGAGGAGCTTGATAAGATGCTTGAAGAGAATCGTCGAAGGGTAGAAGAGTCTCAGAGAAGAGAAGCTCTGGAATTCCAGAGAAAAGAGGAAGAACGACTGCGAGAGTTGGAACTGATGCAAAGACAAAAGGAAGAAGCACGAAGGAGAAGAATTGAAGAAGAGGAAGAGCTAGCTAACCGGATGGCTTCATTAGTCAAGAATAAGACTCGGTCGAAATAGATTGGTCTATAGTGATGCCTTGGCGAGGCTTCAATTACAGCAAGGATTCCCAGAAGCATTTTGTTTGATTATTTGAAATTAGGTATGTAATACTGACAGTTCCCTCATTCAAAAAGAGTTTATCACTCATTTCTGTTCACAGTTGCCAAACATGCTTTTATATCTGTTATCTACCATTATCTCATTGAGCTCTAAGCATACTGTGATGGAGAGTTAAAGTTGAAACATGGAAATGACTAGGAAATTAAAAAGGTTCGACTGTTTTTTGACTCCTTAATAGGTGTGTTTGATATGTTGAGCTGTATAAAATATATGATTAAGATGAATGTAGTATATTTGTCTATTGTTGAGTTTAATTATTTCCAGTCTAGCTTACTAAACTTGTCTAATAAATGGCATTTGGACGATGAACATGTGTATACGGCACAAGGTTTTGTAGGGATTGATGGATGGATAAATCGATGGATGGGAAGTATGCTTGGTTGCAATGTTCATTTTTAGATCTTGATATTTTCGAACTTCAAGTAAAGTCAAGTCTCAATAATTTTCAACGTTTTATTACATAAAGATACAATAATGTTCATTTCAAACATTTGTGTAAGAGATGAAACTGCAAGGTTTTCTATAGTTTATTTGAATAATTGAAAGCCCTTTGTTAAGTTGCACGCCTCTTGAAAAGAAACTTTTCATTTTCTGAACTTATATTATTTCAAAAATATGGTTTATTAGTCACTAAACGACTTAAAATTTTTGGATTTTTTTTCATCATCTTTAGATTTTTATATTCTATACATGTATGAGTATTATAGAGTATTATTCTTAAAGGTTGGCCTTTGTAAAGAGGAATAATCAAATTTCTTACAGATTATTCATATATTTCATCCTTAATTGATGTGAGATTGTACTTCAACATGTACACACAAGACTGTGGCTCATTTGAAAACATCAATCTTGAAATATGATTGCTTGTTAGAGCTTTACACAGATCAAAATGCTCATTTGAACTTGGACTACAATATAGTCTTTGAGTTCATCTTAAGAGTTTGATCTTTTTATGAGGAATAACCATTATGTATTGTCTATTTATTTCATCATTAACAGAAAGTGGAATTTTACCCTTTGAACATGTATTTATTTGCTTAACACAGTTTGAGATACATATATATATACACAAATGCTACCTACTACCTCAGTACCAAGAACAAGATGCATTTCGCTTAACTTACATTGGGATTTTAGAACCAGGAATCAAGGAATTGGACCAGGCATGTTGAATGGACATTGCAGCATGATCCGCCCATGGGCCCATCTTGCAATATTCACAGAAATCTGTGTGGATTGTGATAGTGCAAAAATGTTGTTATGACTCATGGAGGTATATAAAGAGGTGTAGGGGAATATTTTTCAAGCAAATAGGCCAAAACTGGGCAATGACAGGTGAATATGATTCTGCCCACAAAATGGGACCCAAAAAAGGAAATATATACAAAGTGTTTATAAGAATTCTAAATTTTTATGTATACTAATTTCTCCTAAAATCTCCCACCATGACTATGGGTATTGATTCAAACAGACAGTGCTTTTCTCATCTCCTAGAAGAAATACAACAAATATGAATGACATCTGTTCAAAATACCTTGCTTTTCCCCGTGTTTGAGCCTCATTTTTTTAGAATAAATTTTATAAAAAATAAATTTTTTTAAAGAATATTTTGGGGAAAAAGTAGGAAAAATTTTAAATTTATGTGTAAAATTATTTTATAGGAAGAATGTGTGGTTGAAATTTTAAAATGAATTTTAAATATGGGGTTCAAAAAATAGGAAAAAGTTTCTATGTTGTCAAATACAAGTTTAAATTGCAATATATAAGTAACCTCCAAAGTGAAATTTGAATTCAAAATATATATTTGCGTGTTGCATAACCTCTTAATTTAAAGAGAAGTCAAATTTATTCATTATGAAAGAGTTGATTAGAATTAAAGTTCTGTTGACTCACCCGAATCAGGATACTGCACAATGGCCACAAGAAGTTGAGAGAAGAAAAGATTGACACTGAAAGTAGGAATAATTGAAATGGTTGCGCCGAAAGGTTTAGGCTACCTTCCACTTCCACTTCCACTTCCAATTCCAATTCCAATTCCAACTCCGTTTTCTATTTCAATGCCATTACAACACGTGGTTGTCCTTTGTCAATGATTAATGACCCTTTTGAGTCTTCTCGAACCTAATATGAGAATATCATGAGTCATAAAAGTGTCATTTGGGTTGTACTCCTTGCAACTATTAACTCGGAACGGCCAGCTTACAAGTTTTGATTGGCTTGTAAAATTTAAACATGGTCTATTTTGGTTTGCGCAAGATAGATTAGGTCGTCTATGGACGATCATGTTAAAGATTTTTAGTAGATTTTAATAAAAGTTGACAAAATATATGATTCAGAAGTTGTCCCATAAAATATATGATTAAAATTAATTGTTAACTTTGAATTAAATTAATAATCCCTACCAAATAAGGGCATATGATGGTGTGTTTAAAGAACTAAGGGCATCTCCAATGCTATTACCAAAACACCAAATTTCACCATAATTTGGTGCAAAAGCTCTTCAATGTAGGCACAATGGTGCAAATTTTGGTACAAAGTCAAATTTGCTATCTTTTTTTCCATTTGTCAAAGTAATTGATGGAGGGTATTTGTTTTATATATTTTTTGATACAATTATTATTGTTATTATCTTCATTTTTATTTTTATTATTATTATTTGATTTAATATTTACATTTTTTAATGGCATGATTTAATATTTTCATTTGTCTAGTGTTTTTACTAATTTTACTGCATTTTTTATATTTGTTAACGAATTTAATATTTTTCTTAATTTAAAGTAATTATTTCTTTTAGTAATTTATGTATTTGTAAAATAAATAATTTTTTCAATAAATTAAGAATAAAAAAATGATTAAACATTGTTCATTTGATGTAAGTCTGTCTTGGTGTAATAATTGGAGATGATTTTTAGTTTGATACAAGATTTGGTACAAAATGGTGAAGGGTTGGAGATGACCTAACAACAAGAGGATAATTATAGGCATATATTTCTGTTTAGCAAAGAACAAGTGCATGAATAGTGTCAACTAACATGATGTCATCATGATTGCTCATCAAGAGATCTAGTCGAATAAACCATTAAATGAATGGACTAAGAGGAAAGCACAAGATGAATGATCTAGATTTGAACACTACGTTTTGGAATCGCACCTCAAGAAAATACTAATATGCAAATAATAAAAGGTATCTTGTTTTTTACATTAAAACAAATAAATTTTTGTTCCAAGTGCGCGCGCACAAAAAGTTATTCTATGTCTATCAAGAACTAAGGAATGTTATGTAAGGTTTTTAAAAAGAATTATTCCATGGTATATAACAATGTACATAAGGGTGACACCGAGCGCCCTTTTAGTAGGGGGGTATCGATGGACTCCCTTATGTGCCCCCTTATGTACCCATAGAATAGCTTTTTTGAAAAATCAAAAATTATTTCGTTGATTAAAAATTTATTTTTGAACTTATTAAACTAATTCTTTGACAGTATTTTGTCTGATTTGAAAAAAGTTTAAAAAATGCTGAACTTTTCTATAAGAAAAAGAAATCCCATAGACCGAACCTTACTATTTAAACAAGAAAAGTCCACCGTCCACGAGGAAACTAGATATCCAAGAGTGATGACCAAATTGAAAGTGTAGTAGGCTTCGAGTGCAATCAAACGATTCCGTATGCGTACGTTTCACCCACGTCCATTACTTTATCAAATTTAAGCCCCTATAAATTATCCATAGTCTTCTTAAACTCCCTGTACTCTCTCCAACTTTGAATTCTCTCTCTCTCTACATATACACATACAAATCCATATTTGCAATATGCGAGAGGAGAAGAAGAAGATGAAGTTGAAGAAAGGGTGGGTGGCGGTGGAAGTGGGATTGGCAGATGATAATAAATTTCAAAGATTTGTAATCCCAATTTCATATTTATACCATCCTCTATTTCAAATGCTTCTTGATGAAGCTCGAGAGGTATATGGCTACCACACAACGGGCCCTCTTAGACTGCCATGTTCAGTCGATGATTTTCTTGATATTCGGTGTCGGATTGAGAGAGAAACCACTAGTCACAGTCACGGCCGCCGCCACCATCATCACCAGCTCTCCATGTCTTTATCGTTTAACTCGTGTTAAAGTTGTACTACGGATTTAGTGAGGAGGCTCTTTATGTTTTTTCAAAGATTGATGCCTCTTCTTAATTTGCTCAGTGAAAAATAATCTAAAGATTAAAAATTTTGTGCAGTTATTTTTCTTTCTTCTATATATGCTTAGGTATAAATTTTTATTTTTACTTTTTTAATTTTTAATTCTTTTTAATTTTAATTAATTAATTAATTAATTTTATATGTTACGGTGGCTAAAAATAGAAAAATGAAGAACTAAAATTTAAACACTTTATCACATATTTGAAAAGTTAAATTCAACTGAATAACATATGCTTTTAGCAAGGTATCTCTCGATCAGGGAAAGTGGTGGGACTGGTCAACAAAAGTTGATTTTTCTAAGCAATGGCGTTATGGCGACATGTAGAATTTGAGGTTATTTGTATACATTATCACTGAATTTTGCGTAAAGTTTTCATTGGCTCACTAAACTTTAAAAATTACCACGTTAATCACTAAATTTTATAATTCGTTATCCCATTCGTCACTCAGGTTTAAATTGCTATTGACATGGATTCCAGGTGGAAGATAGATTGTCTCATAATATCTCTTATTTTTCGCACTAGCCTTCAACCTATATTTGCCATCAAAAGTTTTATAAAAAAAAAATTTTCATTTTGTCAAATTGAAAAATCATATTTTTCCATTAAAAAACACGACTCAAAATGTGTCGTCATTTTACCAAAAAAATACACAAAACACAAAGTGCAACCAACAATGACCACAAGAAAAGTACAGATACAATTTACATTGAATAGTCAAACAAAACTTTTCTACGGTTATATGCAATTCTAAGGCCATTTTCAACCCTGTACCAAATTTTGCACCATTTTGCACCAAATCTTGCACCAAACAAAAATTCATCTCCAACCATTACACCAAAAATCACACCAAATAAATAGTGTTTAACCATTTTCTTCCCTTTTTTTTATTCTTTATAATCTACTTATTTGAAATATTATTTATTTAATTGTTTCATAAATACATAAATTACTAAATAAATAATTACGCTAAATTACGGAAAAGATTAAATTCATTAATAAATATAAAAAATATAGAACAATTAATAAAAATACTACAACAACGA